TTAACAATCTTATGTTTAAAACAATTTTAGGCACTTAAAAGGCGTCTTGAAAAATGGTTTGAAAACAATAATTTACAAAAAAAAAAAGTTTATGCATATTAAACCAAACCTATGTATGTATATATCCCTATGTTATTCGACACGCTGAATGCGAATCCGAGATTCATTAGCCTCCACCACCTAAGGTTCGTGCTCAGTGGAAGGTCAAGTAGGTAAAAATTCATTAGTTAATTGAATAAACCTGAAAATTCATAAACATGTTTGGTGTTCTAGACTCGCTGAACCCGAATCCGAGGTCCATGAACCTATATAATGGCAGGTTCGAGGACATTTGAGGGTCAAATAGGACAAACAAAAATTCAATAAAACAAAAAAATGTTTTTTTGTTGTCGCTGAATCCGAATATGGGGGTCCCTTGATTTCTCAAGATCCTCTAGAAATCATGCCAAGGACATCCCAAGGTCAAATTCAGAAGAAATGTAGATATTGAATTTTCAGCTTTATTCAATGAATTTTTCCTTGACTCTAAACTTTTTAATTTTGTTGTTGTTTTTTAACAACCTTATGTATGTTTAAAAGAATTTAAGGGAAAAGCAGTAAAATAATGCTATAAAAATGATAAAAACAGTTAATTTTTTTGTTCCATAATTTTCTGTGGGGCATGTTTTTTCTGTAAAAGCGGTTTCTTATTTTTTGTTTTATTTTTTTTATAGATTTTTTTTTATTAACTTAAAGAGGCTAAGAGTTAACTTTATTATTTACTAAAATAATATATGGTTGTTATTTGGGGCGAATATTATGCAGATGGTGAAAAGGTGATAAAATTTATAAAGCAATTTTCTATGAATCTCTAACTCTTTGCTAAACTTGGATAAAATAAGGGTATCTCTTAATTTTTGGAATTTTAACCATGGTGATTATTGTTTGTTTAAATTTCAAAGTAATACATAAAGAAACTCTTTTTGCTTTTTAATTTTTATTATTCTTTTCCTCTAAAAATTAATGAACAAAAAAAGTTTTTCAGGCTATAAAAAGGCCAGCAGCGGCTAAAACCGTCAGCCTATGTTGGGTCTCAGGATACAGGGCTTTTTTCTTAGACGCCTCACTTGCCATAAATATACCAATTCCTCTTCGGGAAATCAAAATATCACAAGTTCTGTTCATGTATCGTTAAGCAGATAGGCTCAGGGTTGCATACTTGCAAAGATTATGAAGCTTAATGATTTCCGTCTATCAACAAGGAGAACAGACTCGAGGCTTCTGGAAGGATTAAATTAGGTCTGAAATTAGGTCTTACAAAAGACAGAAAGTCCAGGAAGTGTGGATATCAGGAAGAAACTATGGAGCATATAATTTGCGAGTGCCCGGCATTCAGCAGGAAATTACTCACGTGACTCGGCAAAGCACAGGTGCATGCGTGAACGCACTGTTTAATGTAACCTTACCTAAGATGGTACGGCTGAAGTCAAACAAATATTATCCTCATTAATGATTTTATTTCATATTTTTATATGAAAATACATACATTATTTTGAAAATAAATTTATTTTGCCCCACCATGCAAAACATGAGAAATAGGCAACAATCGTCAATGGCAAAAAATTGGCGACTCAACTATTTATTGCCGTGGTGACAAATCGGCAACATCATTTCTTTTATGCCAATTTCGGAATAAATAAGTTATCAAAAATTCCCACACTTATAAATTTCACGTCAACAGTATTATCCAAAGCGTCTAATTTATACCAAAGACAGGATTGAAAAAATAGGCAGCCCCATACCGAAAGAAATAATTAATTCCATTTCTAAGTTCCAATATTGTACACAAAAAATAAATGAAATATTAAAAAATACCAATTATCGCATGCAGCGATAAGAAAAGGATTCATTCAGGTAATAATAAAACGATTCGCTCAGGCGAGTTGCCTTCGGCGGACGTTTTAGAGCGACTGGTAATAAGAATTCGATATGCTCGCGATATTACCAGCAATAAATTTGTTACCGAGGGCGAGGTTACGTTTTCTTATTGCCGGCCATAGAAATTGTTTGGTGGGACTTTTTAATTTATTTTCTTATTTAACGTAATTTTATTTAATTCTTTTTATCTTACTTTATTTTATTTTCGCATAGAATGTTCATAATACAAATGTACATATTTTACAAGGAGGAAGCAGGGACTCTAAACCGAACTAAACCTCCTACCGTCCTGTACCGTGTTACCACCCGGTACTACCGTCAAGTATTTCGTCGGTAGGCGGTTTGAGCACGAAGTTGAGCACACGTACCTTACTGTTCTAGTGTTTTCAGTTTGTTAGTTATTTCATACTACCTATCCTATCTTATCGACCATATGCTACAGTATACTTGTTTAACTTACCAAGATTCTTCTTCTGTCTTGTTCAGCTCTTCTGAGTGTGTTCATGATTCTTGCTGCCACATTGGAACCTGCATTCCAGTTTTCTGGGGATTGAGGCATTTTTGCAAAATGTTTTTTTTTTTTTGGGGTGTTGGGTCTGCCTAAAAAAGACATCTCGCAGATAAATCCGTTCTCGGGCGAACTTGTTGCAGTAGAAGAATACATGTCCGACGTCTTCGGTAACGCTTCCAGCGCAGGTATCACATGTGTCAGTGTCTTCTAGATTGCAGCGTGTAAGGTAGGCCTTAAAGCAGCCGTGACCTGTAGGAAACTGGGTTATGTACATATATGAAAATTTACCTCGCCATGAGAACGGTTTATCCATGATTCGAGTTTTGGTATTAAACGGTGGGTCCAACGTCCATTGCTACTTGCGTCCCATCATATTTTCCAGTTTGCCAAAGTATAGTTTCTTACTATTTTCTTTTTCAGAGTTAGGGGTAATTAATCCGGTACCTCAAAATTGGTCTATTGGGTGTAGACCTGCGACAACAAGGACTGTGTCTTCGGGTACTGTAGAAAATGCACAGCAAGCCCTTAGAGTGCAAATGTGAATATAAATGCCAGACCACACCTTTTGGACTTAGTATCGACCGCATTTGCCAAAACTTGCGCACCATATAGTGATACCCACTTAAGTACCCTAGCTAAAGTCGTCCGTTGTTCTGTTTGGGACCAGGTGCATTGAGCATCGTTCTCGATAAAGCGTACCTACCATGTTTTTGCAGCTATTTCGAAAACGAATTCAAGGTGTTCTTTGAAATATAGCTTTGCATCTAATATGATACTCAGATAATTTATGGACGGCTTTGTGTAAACTCCTTTGACATTAAAGGCCACATATTCACGAATCTTCCGACCTGTAACAAGAACAGTTTAAGTCTGGCTTTCAGATAGGGCAAGTCCCATTACATTACGTACATACTTTGTGATTATTCTAGAAAGGTACCTACGCGGGCGCGGAAAGCTCATGTAGGGCAACTAGAATCTTTTGCCAAGATGCCGATTTAAAAGCAATTTAGGTACTATCATGCAGTATTGTATTGTGCCTCCCTTCCAGCGTTTACATAATACCTATGTATGTATGTATGTACATACATATGTACAGTAAATCCTCCTTTCTCATTTTCAAACAAAAAAGCTTGTGCATGTACGTACATAAGAACTCCTACAAAAAGTATTACATATTGTGCAATAGTTAGCAACAACTGTTAGAAATAACACTCAAAAGAGCCATAACTCCGGCCATAGTGCAGATATGAATATCGTTTTTATATGCACAAGTATGCAAGTACATATGTATGTATATGTATATGTAAGCATGTAAACGTAAGCATGAAATAAAAGTACATATGCACCTATGTACATATGTGTATGCATACATAGTCTGTATGCACTTACGTGTGTAAGTACATCTGCATGCAGTTTTCCAACAAAATAAACTTGCTAAAAAGTCTTAAGCTCACACCAAGCCGAACTTACACTTTTAACAGTTTTTAAGGCTTTTTTGGAACGTCAAAAGTTTTTCAACCGAGCAGATAGTCACAGACGAGATTGTATGCAGGAAAAGATAGATACAGACAGCCAACGCGCATTTTTTTTATTAACCAGTCCATGAACAAGCATAACTATGTATTTACACATGTATGTATGTCTGATGTATATTGTGCTAGTATGCGTTCATATTCAACGGTTGTATGTTCGTTTGTTTGTATGTGCAAGCAAGTCTGAAATTTCCAAATTATATAAAACTTTCATGTTGCATTGTTTAGTATGGCTGTACATATGTATCTGCTTACTACATACAAACGCATATATGTATTTCAATACAAGCTTAAGCTTACAATCTACAAATATAAATATAAACACAAACAAAAAGCATATACTTTCATAAAGTTGTACATACATAAGTATATATATATATATGTATATATGTATACAATAAAGTTAAAAAGCCTTCACTACTTTAACCACAAAAATAACAACAACAACCAAGTAATAGCACAACTTTTTCATTCGTATGTATGTATGTACATTAGGGCGGCCCTTATTTATATGCAGAAAAATTAAATACATTTTTGGATTCTCGGTCTCACCCCCTAGAAATATGCGAATAGCCAGAAGACTAAACTATACAAAGTTTAAGTTAAATCAGAAAAGATTTAGAGGTGGCTCACAGCGCTCTAAATTTTCCATGTATTTTATATGGGGGATAAATATTTGTCGTAGAAAAAAAATGGGGGACCCATAAAAAATAGTATAGGTGGACCCCCTCTAAATATTTTCTGCTTGTCCTAAAACTTTGTATATTTTAGTCTTCAGGCTATTCGCACATTTTTAGGGGGTTAACCGAGACCCCGACCTCTTTTCAAAATAAGGGTCACCCTAATGTACAAACATATATAATATGTACGTACATATGTATACAGTAGGTCCGCCGTTCTCCACACAGCTTGATCGTGGAACCTCGATCGTCGTGCGCTTACCGCCGCTGCTGTTTTCTGTTGAGCTCGCAAGTCCGCAAGCCCGCCAGCTACCCAGTCAGTTAGCAAGTCAGTAAAGCCAATACGTATTACCTACTAGGTAGAAAGTATAACAGCCAATGGCAATTTGCCTTAGTTGGAAAGTGCCATAAACGCTGAACACAATAAAAAAAAAATCACACTTCATTAATGTATGTATGTAGAATGTTGGTGTGTTCAAGGTCGCAAATGTTGGATCACTTCTTTTCATCAATGTTAATGATGATGATTGCTAAATCACGGAGAGAGCTACAAATACAAGTAAATGCGCACACATTCACACACACTCACGTGCACACCACTCACCACTGTGGAGAGAGATATGTGTGAGATGCAAGAAATTTCCATACATTCAGTTTTGAAATATCAGTATCAAGTGAAGGGTTCAAGTAGTAGAGAGTTAAAAGTAGAAAGGCTAGGAAGTACTACATACAAAGCTAGCGAAAAAAGTGGAAAAAATCTTGGTGAATGTACAAATACGGGTTTTTTTTCAATTGTGCAAATAAATTAGTTTTAGTTCACAAGAAACAAGCTACATTTGCATATCAATAAAATATATCCACTTTCGATACAAAAGTGTGCAAATGCGTGTACCTGACTGAGCGTATGTGAATAAATAGTTTTCGAATTGCGCGTAGTTTGCGCATGCGTGCGGATTGGAAAAGCGGATGCTTAGTGCGAATAGTTTGTCATCATTCAAGTATTTAAAGAATTTTTGTTTGTTGCGTTGCGTGTGTGAATTGCAGAACTAAAGCTAAAGTTGTTTAAAATAATGTAGGTATTATGTTTTTAATTACAAATAAAGTTATGTATGTATATATCTACATGCATGTGTGCTTTAAACAAGATGTGCTTTTTCACCTACACTAACCGCATAAAATTCAAATAAATATTTAAACGTCTAATGCCTAACAACATTAACATTGTTGCCGCTACCCATTGTTAAATACATACATACATCTGTACATACATATTTTGATTTTCTGTGCTTTTGATGTCTTCCTTCCAAAGTTTCCTAGAATGCTGATGTTGCAGTACAGCAAGCATGGAGAGTGTATACTCAAGGAAATTGGAGCCGCATTCCGTGGAGAACACCCAGCCGATCTGACGATAGTTTGTGAAAACAGGGTCAAACTTCATGCACATAAACTCGTATTGGCTGCTGCTAGCCCACTCATAAGGTAAAAGTGACGCAGTTGAAATGGTAAATTTACCAAATTTACTTTATAAAGCACTTAAAAAAAACTAAAAAAAGGTTATATGTATTAAAAAAAATACTAAGAAATACAAATGTACATTAGGCCGTATCACTATGTAGTATATCAGGAGTGTAAAATTTTTTTTCGGCACTCTATAAAAACAGCTAAATCGATTTTCTCTATAAGGGTTTTATTTGATATCCGATTTCTATAAATGAGGCATCGTTGTAAAGGTACCTATTAAGAAAGTCTGCAGTTGTGTATATATTACTATTATCACGTCTCACAAACTTTGAAAGTTCTGTGCATTTTTCTGAAAACAACAAACTGTATGCAATATTTCGTGTCAGAAAAATATTTTTCATGTCAAATTATAACCTTTTGGCAAATAAACACTAATCTATTTCCATTAAACAACAGCTAATTACTAGCAAATGTGTAAATATTTAATTAAAGTAAGTTTTTCCGGAACTCAAGTTGGCTGAATCGTGGTAGCACCACAAATGTGTATAGTTAAGGCACTCTTGTTCGTGGGAGTGTATTTTTGAGATTCTTACTATTTATTACAGAGTACCGTGTTAAAAAAAAGCTTTTCTGGTGGAACTATATTAGAAGTTTTTAATACCTTTAAAACTATACGTCATTTATGGAAATCGGACATCAAATAAAGAAGTTATAGAACAAAATCAGATTTAACTGTTTTTACAGGGTGCTGTGGAGAAATTCTTGCATCTTTTCGTGCGTAGTTAATAGGGGCTATCCATTACTTTTTGCATTCCCAGACATAACCCTTTCCCACTGGGTACATACACACATGTACATTAAAGTGATCCAAAAATGTAGTATTTGAAAAAAGGTCGGATTTATAATGCCGCCACCACTAGGTTTGTTCTATACCAAAAACAATATACCCATATTTTTTATTTTGATATAAAAAAATAGGGAGTGCTTAAGGCGCTCAAAGTTTTTCATGTATTTTATATGGGGAACAAGCAACTTTTCGTAGAAATTGTGTATAATTCCTGAAAATCAAAATTTTTCGATTGGAAAACTTTTTTTATCATCCGGAGATTCCCAGTAATAATACCCAATTGTTTATTTTTTTCATGGTAACAATATATTATAGGTCCTCGAAAACCCCCAGAAATCTTTAATATTAAAAAATGGTTAAATAAACAATTGGATATTAATATTGGAAGTCTCCTGAAGAGAACCACAGTTTTTCGATCGAAAAATATTGATTTTCAAGAAATTTATAGCATTTCTATGAAAAGTGTTTTTTCCCCATATAAAATACACGGAAAACTTTGAGCGCGTAAGCGCTCCCTAAATATTTTTTGATTTCAAAATATAAAATAGGGGTATATTTTTTCGGTTAAAAACAATCCTAAGGGGTAGGTAGCGGAATTAAAATTCGGACTTTATTGGTTTTGGAACACTCTAATGTACATTAGAACATATGCAGATAATTTTTTTCTTAGAAATTCGATACGCAGTTTTTTCCATTGACTTAAATAGCATATCTTTAAAGTTTTATTGCTCTAGGTTGACGATAATCCCTTCTGGCTTGAAGTTGAAATAATCGGCATGTTTGTCGCGCAAACACTGAAGCTGAATCGTATTAAATGTACGTCCATAGTTTTTCAAGGTCACATCAATTATCCATTTCGAATATGTAAATGTCCATCTTACAAATGCCGCTAAGGTGACTAGTAGGAAAACGAGACTTCCTACTTTGGTCCAGTATTTCGTGCTATAACAATTTTAAGATGAGCTAGCTTGTTCAGATACATAGTGGATCTACTATAGTGACTGGCAACTAACTCTAAGCCTGCGGGTTATCTCACTTCAATTGCAACTATGCGAATGCGGCTTGTTTCACTCTGCGGTCTGTGGATCCTATCGTCTGTGATGCCTGGACGTTTGTTGTTTTTGTTGTAGCGACACTACTAAGCCTAGACCAGAGAGAGAGGCTGTTAGCTGAACGGGCTTAATGGAAGCAAGCGAAAAGGTGGTTGGTGTCGTGTAGGGTACCTTACTAGCTAGCTCTTCGTTTGCAATGGGAGGTGTTTGAACTTCGATGATACCAGTTTTGGGGGCGGGAGTTGGTAAAACTGGTAGTTGTCACTCGGTGGATGTTGTATAAGATCTGTCTGTTCAACGTTGGGTCCAGCGGTTGTGCGATGTAAGCTTGTATTTCGTCCATGAGTTCGCAGATAGTGTGGAAGGTGGCTCTGCTCCCAGCAAGTGCTTGTTCGGGTGTTTTCTGTTAGCAGTTGAATTGCTTGCTGTTCCCTGACGGGTAACATTGAGCTCTAGCTATGAAGGCGGGGGGCTCAGGCGACATAAGAAGGCATCTCATTGGAGTATTTCGACAGGTCTACAGCTTCATTTATGTGGTGTGCATCTTACTAAATTTTGGTGAGCAAACTGATGCGTCATAATTTACTTAGTACCGGTCGCCAATTGCCCTGTATGTTGCCAACAACGTTTTTTTGTGATTGCCCCAAGTGCTGCTGCACTTGATTAGCAATTGCGAGAAAGGTAAGAAAGGTAGACGTTTACTTTTAAACATAGGTAAACAATAGCGGGCAATCTTCGGCATAGGAGGTCAGTGAAACTCCTTCTGGTGGCTAAGATAGTTAACGATGTACAAGTTAAAGGGAAGGCAAATTTCACGCCGGTTTTGATGGGCAAATTTTTCATGTGAGATAAGAAGTCTTATGACAAATTCGGTATCACTTCGTAGACATAACTTCAGCTTCAGGTCGGTTCTACAGCAATAACGCTTTACATTAGCTCTTTATTTGGAAAGTGGCATAAGTAACTGCATGCCATTTGACATCAGTGCTTATTTACCTGTGTCTGAACGCGTCTGTTATTCGTTCAACTTTATAATTCAAAGGTAAAAATGTTGGTCATTAGTTTATGACCATTAGAGGACGATTAGAGATGCATTCAGTTAAGTTAAGTTAATGGAAATGACTTATGCCACTTTCCTTGCGATGAAAGGTCTTGGTCCTCTTTATCCAATCCTGACCAGATGTGTCAAGCTCTCTACAATTTGGTTCTTACATAGTGTGTATGTTAATAGGTGTGAATAGATAATTTTTTTTTTTACTGATCTCTTAAAGGAGTAAATTTCCAATATTGGGTATTCTTTATATTGTTGGTTTCTATTTTATTTTGTTTTATTTAGTATTTTATTTTGTTATTCGGGTTCGTCACATTTTATTCACTTTTTCTTTATTTCATTATAATTTATTTGATCAAAAGTTTATTTATTTTTCCCCTTACTTATTTTTTACTGTTTTATTATTTTATTTTATTCTATTTTTTATTAAAATTTATTTTAATCTACTTTATAGGATTTTATTAATATATTTTACCTTAAGTAGTTTTATCTGTTTATTTTATGTCACATATTTTATCTTTTTTTATTGTTTTATTTTTATTTTATTTGAAGTTAATTAAAATTTTCTTTATTGTTATTATTCTTCACTTTGAATTATTCTATTTTTTATATTATTTTGCTCTTTTCTTTTTATTTAATTTTAATTGTTTTAAAAGTTAATTTATTTCTTCATTATTTATTTTTTTTTTTATTGTACACTTTCCATTTAATATTATTTTATTCGTTTATCTAATATTCTTCCTTTTTAATTTTATTTATTCTTTTAATCTATCTATTCTCTTGTATCTTAATTATATTTTATTTTAATTTAAGTGTATGTTTTCTCTATTTTTTATTATTTTTCCAGGTTCTACATAAATTATCTTATATTATTATATTTGTTTGTTTTATTTTTCATTTTATTTTATTGCATTATAAATTTTATTTAACTTAATTTTATTTTCATTATTTGATTCTACTTCCTTGTATTTTGCTTAGTTTTTTTTTAATATATTTTTTTGTTTTTAATTTCTTAACTTCCCTTAATTTCATTTCACACCTTATCCGTTTCGCTTTATTTTCTAGAACTCTCTTGGAGGACACGCAACTATCCGACAGCGCGACCACAGTTTATTTCCCAGATGTAAATGCTACATACTTTAAATTCCTCTTGGATTTTCTTTACTCCGGACAAACTTGCATAACATCCCGCGATGTTAACTACTTGCACGATCTGCTGTTGTTGCTGCAAATCAAATCGGACAATTGGAAGACGACAGATTCAGCAATTCTAAGCAGTAAATGTAGTAATTTGCGCGATCGATTAAATAGCGATTCCAATGGTAATGGAAACGGTAATGGAAATGGTAATCATGAACAAATGTATTGTTCAACAAAACTAGAGCATTCCTATAGCCCTGAATTAGAAAGTAGTGATGATTTAAGAAATTGCTCGGACCATCCGAAGAATACAGATACAGATACCGTTAAGGAAGATCCGGGCAGCCCTAAGTGTTCATTAGAAGATAATAATATACAACAAAAAGATTTAAAGGAGAATAGTCCATCGACCAGTGAGCAAGAGGCATATACAGATGCGCAGCTCAATACAGCCAATAAGAACATACCTTCTCTAAATCCTGTCAATTTATCGCTGGGTTTTCGAAGTAAACACGAAAGTAGTACAAGAAAATTATCATATACGGACAAAAACATTTTCAACACAGACAGTTCATCATTCAATGGCACCGAAAGTATAAAACGTAAAGGATTTTTTTTCGATTCTGATAAAGAAGTGACAAAATCTCTACAAGATCCCGACTTGAATAATTCACCAGAAAACTATGTTGTAACGCCGCATCGAAAAAGAAGACCGGGCTTCCATCATTCCTCCAGTCATAATCAACCGTTTGCTTCATCATATCAGCATACATTAATCGAGGAGTTACGTTCCGCGAAAACAGCAGCTTCACCCATATCATCGTACATGTCCGATCGCAAATTGTTATCCCCACTGGAGGAAGGTCTCTTAGGTAGCTCCGAAGTGCTGCCGAAAAATCGTAAATCCATCGAAAATCAAAGGCCCAGACCGCAAAGTCCCGACACTGCACTACACATCTCACCACAGTTTGCTTACCAATGGCAATCGGCGCAAAACCCTGCCATCTCCACCTTCTCAAATCTGCAATCTGGTCTCAATAGCATACCACAGATAGGTGGCGTAGGTGGTGGTGGTGGTAGTGGTGGAGGTGGTGGCGGCGTTGGCAGTAGTGCTGCCGAGGCAGGCAGTCGTGATACACCAGGAAGTGTTCGTGATCCCCCTTCAAACAATTCGAATATATGTGGCACGCACAATACGGCACGTGAATATCGTTGCGAATACTGTGGCAAACAATTTGGTATGTCGTGGAATTTGAAAACGCATTTAAGAGTACACACGGGTGAGAAGCCGTTCGCTTGTCGCTTGTGCGTTGCTATGTTCAAACAAAAGGCCCATCTATTGAAACATTTGTGTTCGGTTCATCGAAATGTTATAACGACGACAAATGGTGCTGAAACCGAAAATCGATTCAGTTGCTGTTTTTGTTCAATGTATTTCGAATCAGTACAAGAGTTAGTGAGGCATTTATCGGGACACCATAATAATTTGCTGCTAACAAAAAATCTACGCGAATAAAATACAATCAAAAAAGGAAAAAATTAACAAAAAATAAATAAAAATAAAATAAAATAAAAAAGAACGCAAGCAAAGCTTAAATTATTTTTAATAAATCTACATGCATACATAACTACATGAAAACATACTTATTACATAAAAAACACGCACACACGCACACACACATATACATACACACGCACACACATACGCATACTTACAAAAGTATACATAATTGTACTTTGAAGACGGAAAGTGACCTGAATTTTTACTTTGTTTGCAGTCAGAACCTGCAATATTTTTTATATAATTCCAATTCTCTTTTATATACGTTTTTTTCATCACAATGAGTATTTGTAAATTTTCATTCAACTTTATAAATAATAAAATAAATATTGATGTGAAAACGTCTTGTAAATATATGTTCGTTTCATTGCCAAGGGATAAGGTGAAAAAAAAACTACAACAAGAAAATTGCTAAGGACTACCTTGTGTTCTTTTGGGCATTTTTGAGGAGATCCAAATATGTGAAATATGAGATCAAAACATAACGGCAACTTAAGTAACTTCATGGTGCTATATATCGAATATCAGCTGATCGATCACAATTTTCTTATGTATAGTACTTTGCAACGCGTTTTGACGCTAAATTGAGAAAGTTAAATTCTCAAAAAATAATCGTTATTTTAATATTTTCTGGTGTGAAGTTCCTTATTTGGTAGACTTCTATTTTTCGATCATATTTAACAGTTATGTTTTGATTGTTGTTTTTTCAGTTTTACGCCGACTCCGAACGGGGATTGTATTTTTATGAGTAGCTGCTTTTCATGGCTGAAATACACTCGGTGGTTTGCCATTGCCTGTCGAGGTATATTCTTTTCATGTTTTCCGTTGTATGCTTGTATATGTAAACAAATTTTCGATCAGCTGTACTTAAAACCTGCAAGTTTTTGCTGGTTTTGCGTTCGCGTACTTTTGCGAGTTTTCTGCTAGAAGAATACTCGAATACACCTAATGTTGCTATGTTCGAAATTTTGTTTTATGGAAAAAAATAGTGGCACCGCCGGCGAAAAAAAGAAATATCAAAAATTAACGCAAATTCTTAGCTTAGTGAAACTTGCACTCTATTACTGGATCTTAATGGGCTACAAAACTGTATACTTAGAAGTGAAAAGTAGTGAATAAAAACTTTATGAACACTTTTTCAATTTCTCTAAAAAATTAAAACAAAAAATTTAGGTAGAAAAAAAGTATTTTTTCGTATTTTGACGAAAAAGCAATATCCATTTTTGGAATAAAAAAAAGTGTTATACTACTTCGAAAAAAATGTAGATGAGAGCGATAGTTATACATTACAAACTTAACTTAAAAAAATAATAAAATCGAACATGGTCAAGTAAAGTGAAAACTTTGCACCTAAATTCAATTTTAGTTAGGTAAAGTAAGTTAATTTTTACTCCTATATTTGTTGTGTTTTATAAATAAATGACGCTGCTCAACTTTAGTCCGAGGCTCGTAGTACAATGTATAAAAATCGGTAAAATTAGTAAATTGGCTAATTAAAGTTTTATCGTCTTTTGTTTGTTACTATTGTAAAATTTCATTTATCTTAAATATTCAACGAAATTTCATTAACTAGATAGGCGGAAACCCTATTTAAAAAATTTTCGGGCCTTAAGTGTTCCTAAATAAATGTCTTGCGTTTCATTTCCTTTTTTTCCATTTTCTATTCCAATTATAGCTCAATACGTAGTGGAAATTAAATATCAGAAAGCTTTCCTAAACTGTACAATTTTTTTTTTAACATCCCAATATAATTCCTAAACTTTGTGCAAAACTCGCGAAAATTCAGCAAATTTTCATCAAAATTTTCAACTTTTTAATCAGATTTTTTAGAATTTTTTTGAGTACGCAGTTTCTAGTAAAAAAATGCAAGTTCAGAGTTAGTCAAAAATCGCGTTGATTTTTGAGAATTTTTTTTTGTTGAAGGTGTTTTGCATTTTTTCCATATAAAGTATTTTCGAAAAAAATTTTTGTATGGAAGAGACTGCGTGAAAAAATTGTGAAAAATCAACGGTAATTCCTAGGTACTTAAAACTTGCACTTAATAAAATTGATTGGGCTACAAATCTGCATACTCTAAAAAATTCTAAAAATCTGATTAAAAAGTTGAAAATTTTCATGAAAATTTGCTGAATTTTCGCGAATTTTGCACAAAGTTTAGGAATTATATTTATATGTTTTTTGTTTTTGAATGAATCATATTTTTATACAAAATTGGCGGAAAATATTAGAATACAAATTGTTGCATATATTGTAAAAAATTTGCTGTGCCAATACTTTGTTCCGGCAGTGTAGAAAAAGTCCGAAGGCTTTAAACTTTAACTTAATTAAACTGTTCGAAATGGATTGCATAAATGGAAGGCTTGCAACTCTCTCAGCCCGGCCATATCATATTTCATTGTAGGTTTTCCAAGATAAAATTAGGAAAGGAACCTATTCTGTTACGGCTACTGCGCTTACAAATATAAAAGAAACCAACCCCAATACTTCTTTCGGTACTCCTTGTGGTATACGTTACGTTTAAAGTACAAAACCACGTATCGTCATTCTACAAAACCGCGTAACTGACATTGGCGCCCAAAAATTGGATTTGCTCACACAATCTCTTGGCTCAATCCTTATCCATTCGTCCTGAAATATGCTAGCCAGAAATGCGATTGCTTTATAAAAAAGATAACCATTTTGAAATATTAGTGTTTTTACACTCTAGAAAATAATTGATGCAATCTCACATACGCGGTTTTGCATTTTGTTGATACGTGGTTTTGCACTTTAAACGACGATATGCAGACTTGTGATGGCTTGTGCGTGTTACTTACGCATAACCTAAAATTCTCAGCATTCCATAGAGGGGTGAACCGCTTAAATCAAAATTGCAACCCAAAAGTACATACATATGTACATATCTCGTTTTTCAAAACAAATAATTTTAAAGCAAAAATTACAACCTACTTCAGTGCTCATATGGGAATTCAAAAGTTATCCTGTAAACATATCCCAATGAATTTCTAACCTTTCTCATTTTTTTTGAAGTCTTTTAAAAAACGCAAGTCTATAGTTTAAAACTTAGTACAAACTTAAATATATAGCATTTAAAAACTTAACCAGCTACCGATGTAAGCCACTTAATGGACTTTCATAAGCTTTTAATCCGGGTTTTTTATAAATGGCACAAGGTAAATCTCCTTTCTGAACGAATATGCGCCTCTTTTATTTGATTGCAGTTGTGTATCGTTAGGGCTCTAACCACACAAAGAACATTGAAAACCAACCTAATGATTATAAGAAAACAAAATTAAATATTGCTCTATAATTATTACTGAACAATGGAAAAGTTGTTTTCGTTTCACGGGACGATTATTTTAAAATGTAAATTATTTTCGTCAACTCATAATAGTTATATGGGACTTTTATTTGCTTTCGTCTCGCGGGACCTTTATTTCAAGACGGAAATTATTTACGTCTTCTCATAATAATTATATGGGATTTTTATATTTTGTCGTTTCTCGGGACGTTTATTTCAATACGAATATGATTCATGTCTTCTCCAAATAATTATATGGGACTTTTACCGAATGAAACTTCTTAATTTGGTTCGGAGATTTAAAATAAAAAAATATTTAACTCCAAAAATGTGATGTCAAATTAAAGGGCTTTGCTTTTACGTGGTTTTAGTTTATTGAAAGGGGTTGCCAGATGTTAGAAAATCAAATTCAATAATCGAACTCGCAGATATTTGCGTTTATTTTGGTGAAATCGGCAGTGCATGTACCGATTATATTAAGAGAAAACGTGGGACGTAAATCATTGCCGTCTTTAAATAAACGTCCCGAGAGACGAGAAAAATAAAAATCCCATATAATTATTATGAAAAGGCGTGAATAATTTCCATCTGAAAATAATCATCCCACGTGACGAATAAAGATATTTCTCGTAAATAATTATTATACAAAGACGAAAAAAATGTCTTTTACAACAAGGCGACGTTTTTGATCTTAAATATTAAAATAATAATTATTTTGTGTCTCTGGTGTAATTCATATACATACATACATGGGCTTTACAGGCTCTTGGCTTTTTATGGTGGAAAGTCTCAATTCGTTTACTGAATACTATATAGTTACATATGTACATATTGCACATATAAAATTATATATATTTACGCACTCGTCAGTTTACAAAAGTTAATTAATTTAGTTAGTTTTTATTTTCATTTAATCAATTGTAAAGATTTCGAAGTTGATTCCGTTGAAAGAAGTGTCGACATCATAAACGGCGAAAGACATTTAGAACTCGTTTCGAAAGGATTTTGCAATTGCTTTTGTGAAATCTCGGATGCTTTGGGGCAAACAATATTGACTTGACGTTCTTGTTTGCGAAATTTGGCGCGTCTGTTTTGGAACCAAACCTGAAATTGAAAAATATGATTGAAGTATTCTTTGATTTTATGTGAATTTGATTGTTTTAACGATAATTATTATAAAGAAATACTTGTGTCAATATAAAAAATAACAACTTCCATGTTGGTAATTTTCTTAATATCTTATTAATGTCGCACATTGTTGCCAAACTGGAATTTTGTGTACAAAATAGTCCAGAAACTTGATCGGTTAAAAAGATCTGCTTAATTTAGAGGCGACTTGACTTGTCGGTCCCGATTTTTGCATTTTTATCTGTTTATATTAAATTTTTTAGAATTTTGAAGAAAATCGATTCCCCTACTCCTGTAAATAAATGTTAAATGATAAAAACTAGTTGAAAACAATTCAAGAGTTTCCCCAAAATGTAAAAAAAATTGAAAAGTAAAAGTTTAGGTTTATGAAAAAATGTTCATCAAAATTGCATTTTTTTCATAATTTCAAAAAATATTTTAGGTATGCAGTTTATACACTTTATGACACTAAAATTTAGTGCCATAAAGTGCAAGTTTCAAGTAACTGAGAATTGGTGTTGACTGTTAATATTTGTTTTTGCTGAAGTTTCGA